GATTCAATGCTATCCCCATCAAGCTACCAATGACCTTCTTCACAGAACTGGAAAAAACCACCTTAAACTTCATATGGAACCAAAAGAGAGCCCACATCATAGCCAAGCCAATTCTAAGCAAAAAGAACGAAGTGGGAGGCCTCACACTACCGGACTTCAAACTATACTACAAGACTACAGTAATCAAAACAGCATGATACTGGTACCAAAACAGAGATATAGACCAATGGAACAAAACAGAGGCCTCGGAGGCAACACAACATATCTACAATCATCCAATCTTTGACAAACCTGACAAAAACAAGCAATAGGGAAAGGATTCCCTATTTAATAAATGGTAATGGGAAAACTGGCTAGCCATGTGCAGAAAGCAGAAGCTGGACCCCTTCTTGACACCTTACACTAAAATTAACTCCAGATGGATTAAAGACTTAAACATAAGACCTAACACCATAAAAACCCTAGAAGAAAATCTAGGCAAAACCATTCAGGACAAAGGCATAGGCTAGGACTTCATGACCAAAATACCAAAAGCATTGGCAACAAAAGACAAAATAGACAAATGGGACCTAATCAAACTCCACAGCTTCTGCACAGCAAAAGAAACAGTCATTAGAGTGAATCAGCAACAAACAGAATGGGAAAACATTTTTGCTGTTTACCCAACTGACAAAGGGCTGATATCCAGAATTTACAAAGAACTAAAACAGATTTACAAGAAAAAAACAAACAAGCCCATTCAAAAGTGGGCAAAGAACATGAACAGACACTTTACAAAAGAAGACATACATGAGGCCAACAAACATATGAAGAAATGCTCATCATCACGGGTCATTAGAGAAATGTAAATCAAAACTACACAGAGATACCATCTCACGCCAGTCAGAATGGCGATCATTAAAAAATCTGGAGACAACAGATGCTGGAGAGGATATGGAGAAATAGGAACACTTTTACACTGCTGGTGGGAGTGTAAATTAGTTCAACCATTGTGGAAGACAGTGTGGCAATTCCTCAAGGACCTAGAAATAGAAATTCCATTTGACCCAGCAATCCCATTACTCCCATTACTGGCTATATATCCAAGGGATTATAAATCATTCTACTATAAGGACACATGCACACGAATGTTCACTGCAGCACTGTTTACAAAAGCAAAGACCTGGAACCAACCCAAATGCCCATAGATGATAGATTGGACAGGGAAACTGTGGCACATATACACCACGCAATATTATGCAGCAATCAAAAACGATGAGTTCATGTCCTTTGTAGGGACATGGATGAACCTGGAAATCATCATTCTCAGCAAACTGACACAAGAACAGAAAATAAAACACCACATGTTCTCACTCATAGGTGGGTGTTGAACAATGAGAACACCTGGACACAGGGAGTAGAGCATCACACACTGGGGTCTGTTGGGGGAAAATAGGGGAGGGACAGTGAGGCATAGGTAGTTGGGGAGAGAAAGCATGGGGAGAAATGCCAGATATAGGTGAATGAGAGGAAGGCAGCTAATCATACTGCCATGTGTGTACCTATGCAACAATCTTGCATGTTCTTCATGTGTACACTAAAACCTAAAATACAATAAAAAACAAAAAAAAAGAAATAACTCAGACAAATCAGAAATGTATTACATACAACAAGACAACTGTCCTGGTCAATAAAGCAATGCTGCAGAGGGAAAAAGTGGGGACACTATCTTAGATTAAAAGAAAATAGGTCAGGAGCACCTGTAATCCCAACAGTTTGGGAGGCCAAGGCAGAAGGATCACTTGAGCTCAGGACCAGACCAGCTTGGGCAACATAGTGAGACCTCATCTCTCCCTAACATAAAAATAAAAAATTAGCCAAGCGTGGTGGTGTGCACCTGTAGTCCTGGCCACCGGCTAGGGGCTCAGGGGAGTGGTGGGAGGGTGGTGCTGAGGCAAGAAGATCCCTTGAGCCTAGGAGATTGAGGTTCCAGTGAGCTATGATCACACCACTGCATTCCAGCCTGGGTGACAAATGAAGATCCTATCTCAAGAAAAAGTACTTTTAGAAAAAGGAGGCCAGGCACAGTGGCTCACGCCTGTAATCCCAGCACTTTGGGAGGCCGAGGCAGGAGAATCATGAGGTTAGGAGTTCGAGACCAGCCTGTTCAACATGGAGCAACCCCATCTCTACTAAAAATACAAAAATTAGCCGGGCATAGTGGTGCATGCCTGTAATCCTAGCTGCTCAGGAGGCTGATGCAGGAGAACGGCTTGAACCCAGGAGGCGGAGGTTGTGGTAAGCCAATATCACGTCACTGCACTCTAGACTGGGCAACAGAACAAGACTCCATCTCAAAAAAAAAAAAAAGAAAAGAAAAGAATAGGGAAACAAAAGAAATATATCAACACACATAAACTTTGACTAGATTATGGTTCAAAGAATAGCATTAAAAGCCATTTTAGGACAATATTAACTGGATGGTATGAAAAAATCATTGCTAATTGTTTTGTGTGCGATAACAGTGTTGCGATTCTGGAGGAAACTATCTTTATTTTAAGAGATAATGCTAAGGTATTCTCGAGTGAAGTGGCATGATGTCTCTAACATGTTTCCATATGGTTCACACACACAGAAAACACATACATTCACATACATTCACACACAAAGTAAAATGGCAAAATGTTAATAACTATTGATTCTAGTTGATTGTTACAAAGGTGTTCAACAGTTTGTGTTGAAAAGTAGGTACGTAACTACAAAATTGCTATTATTCGAGTGCTAAATATGAGTAAATAGTAGCTACCTTGTTTAAAGTATCTTTAGTTTCAAATATGTGACATATTTCAAAAATATATTATCAAAATCCATATTCACAATTTTTAATTGATTAGGAAATTACCATCACCAGAATAACTCTCTCATTACTTATGGGCAAAAAAAGCAAAAATAATACTCAACACATCTATAACTCTTACTATGTGTCAGACACTGTTCTAAGCATTTTAACATCTATTAATTCACTTAAGTATCTAAACAATCCCAAAGGCCAGGTACAGTGGCTCATGCATGTAATCCCAAAATTTTGGGAGGTTGAGGCAAGGAGATCACCTGAGGTCAGGAGTTTGAGACCAGCCTGGCCAACATGGCAAAACCCCATCTCCATAAAAATACAAAAATTTAGCCAGGGACGGTGTGGTGGTTCACGCCTGTGGTCCCATCTACTTGGGAGGCTGAATCAGGAGAATTGGTTGAACCAGAAGACAGAGGTTGCAGTGAACCGAGATCAAGCCACTGCACTCCAGCCTGGATGACAGAGGGAGACTCTGTCTCAAAAAAACAATAAAATAAGGCCAGGCGTGGTGGCTCATGCCTGTAATCCCAGCACTTTGGGAGGCCAAAGTGGGCAGATCGCCTGAGGTGGGGAGTTCTAGACCAGCCTGACCAGCATGGTAAAGCCCCGTCTCTACTAAAAATACAAAAATTAGCCAAGTGCAGTGGCAGGCGCCTGTAATCCCAGCTAATCAGAAAGTTGAGGCAGGAGAATCGCTTGAACTCAGGAGGCAGAGGTTGCAGTGAGCCAAGATCACGCCACTGACTCCAGCCTAGACAACAGAGCAAGAATCCATCTCAAAATAAATAAATTAATTTAATTTAATCCTACCAATAGATTATCACTATTTTCATTTTTCAAGTAATGAATATCACACAGCAAGTGGCAGAGCTGGGCTCTTCAGCCAGATAGCACGGCTCCAAAATCCATGCTTCAACAATCATGATGTGCTCTCTTTTCAGGTCGAAACCTTATGTTTCTGGAATTGCTGATTTGATTTTGCTGAGGTTATAACATCCACCAATCCTTTGAGTTTAATCATTCTAATAATCCAGACATATAAGTATTATAGTCATTCATATAATCAAACTGAGAACCACAAAAATGTAGATACTATGACACTTAAAAAAATGTATTAAGAGTGGCTTCGTGGTTGGGCGTGGTGGCTCACGCCTGTAATCCCGACACTTTAGAAGGCCAAGGTGGGTGGATCACTTGAAGCCAGTAGTTCAAGACAAGCCTGGCCAACATGGTAAAACCCCTTCTATACTAAAAATACAAAAGTTAGTCAGGCGTGGTGGCAGGCACCTGTAATCCCAGCTACGTGGGAGCCTGAGGCAGGAGAATGGCTTGAATGTGGGAGACAGAGGTTGAAGCAGGCTAAGATGGTACCACTGCACTCCAGCCTGGGCAACAGAGCAAGACTCCATCTCAAAAAATAATAATAGTAACAATAATTGATTTGAGATCATTCAATGAGTCTGAAGCAAATTAAACAAAGTACAGATCTAGACAATAATAAAAAACTATTACTAATGTTCTTATGTACTTATGCTTAATAAAACGCTCTTATGGCTATGGAAAAGACCTTTGATTAGAATTTGTTTGTTTATTTGCTTGTCTTTTGAGACAAGAGTCTCACTCTGTCACCCAGACTGAAGTGTAGCACATGATCATGGCTCACTGCTGCCTTGACCTCCCAGGGCTCAGGTGATCCTCCCACCTCAGCTTCCTGAATAGCAGGGACTACACAAGTACATTATCACATCCAGCTAATTTTCTTAGTATTTTTTTGAAGAGATGGGGTTTTGCAATGCTGGCCAGGCTGGTCTCAAATTCAAGGCTCAAGCGATCTACTCACCTCAGCCTCCCAAGGTGCTAGGATTACAGCCACCTGGCCCAGGGCTTGCATATGCCATATTTTAGTTAAATCACATCACAGAACTCTCTAATCTTTCAGTAAAAAGAGACTATTATTGCTCCATAATGTTAATTTTTATATTTTATAGATAACAAAATACATAATTAATACATATAAAATTAATTTTCAGTCAAATACCTGCAGAACCGAAAAAATGTATCTAGAAATATTTCTCATCGCTGTAAGTGATAAGTTAAAAAAAAAAAAATTCTAGCTGGGGTTGGGGACAGGTAATCAGTTCTATCAAATAGATGTGTAAAATTTTACCTGCTTTTTCGTTCAATGAGAATGGCCACGTAAGATGCTGGCAAAGCGGCACCAAAGCCAGGAGTCCATGAGTAGAATTTTCCAAGTATCTTCCTGAAATTCAAATTTGGAATTTTTGTATCAAATTCCTAGTTGGTCATTTCAGTTATTATGAATGGAAGTTTCCCATCTCCATCCATCCTCTATTTAAATGTACCACAGTACCTCAAAATAAACATATCCAAAATCAAACTCATTATCTCTCTCCCCTATCCCCATGAACTTGTTCTCTCTCCTCTATTTTCCTAGGTTAATGGCATCAACATCCACCTATCCACTTATGTTTGACACACGTCATCATTAACTTTCTTTTTCCCTTATCCCACATATTAAGTGACTCCCTTAAATTATTACAGATGCAATTTCTCTTTCAAATTCTCCTCCAAACTACTGTCCCTGCCATAGTGAGGTCCCTTACCAACTCTTGTTAAAGCTACTACAATAACAACTAATGGGTAACACTCCTTTCAATAATAGCCCGCCACAATCATTTAGGCACTCCCTGGCTCCAAACCTGCCGGCTATACAAACCCTCTGGCTTCTCAGTTTCCTGTATTTATCAAATGAGAATAATATTACCTATCTCATATAGCCATTAAGAGAACCATATGAGATATTTCCCAGCGCCATGCAGGACACATAAAGTGTTAGCTGTTATTACCATTATTATGACTATTTTTCAACATATGGTAGATATTCAATAAATGTTTTCCCTTCTTTGCTTCCACAACCCTTGAAAACTTTTTCTTACAGCACTTACTGAAGTATTTTAAATATTTTAGTTTTATGTGTACATCATTTTTCATTTACTAGAGTATGTTCCTTGAAAGTAGGCATCTGCAAAGTGCCTCATAAATTACAAATTACTAGTAGCTGTCTGGGTCTTTTAAGAGGAAAAGAAAATATCTGGAGACATGAGGAAGATTTTTTTTTTCCTTTCAAAATAATCTGTTCCTAAGAAAGGGAGAAATAGCAAGTAAATATTACAAGAAATTATCTGAACAAAGCTGGTCAACTGCTAAATTATACATTATGAAAATTATATATATATAGAAGAATCAAGATTTTTCATTTTTTAGAAATAAGGTCTTGCCCTGTCACCCAGGCTGGAATGCAGTGCTGCAATCATAATTCATTGTAACCCAGAATTCCTGGGTTCAAGGGATCCTCTGCCTCAGCCTCCCAAGTTAGCTGGGACTACAGGCATACCACCAAGGCTGGTTAATTTTCTTTTTTAAGAGGCAGAGTCTCATCATGTTGCCCAGGCTGGTCTTGAACTGCCAGCCTCAAGCAGTCTTCCCACCTTGGCCTCCCAAAGTGCTCAGGTAACAGGCATGAGCCACCATACCAAGTCTGAAATAATTTCTTAAATTGAAGCTCAGATTTAAAAAGATTAGAAAAGCTATCAAGGACACATAACTTGGGTATTTTTTGAAACGGACATCAGAAACCTTCCACCCAGGAAGACTGGAGTGGTTTTCCCTCCAATATGAAATTCATAAATGACTTAAGTTATTGAACATAAAATCTTAAGAAAAACAGACTCGTCAATCAGTTACAAGGAAAACATGGATGTTACCTTAAATATAGTCTAAGTTCTAACTTTAAATGTCTACTGGACATGTCAACATAGATGTTCCTTAGGTACCAGAAAAACCAACATGTCCAAAGCAGATCTCACTGTATTTCTCAAATATGCTTTTACTTCTGATTTTGCTACCTCAAGTAACAGCATCTTATCTACTCAATTGGGAACAAAATGTGTCATTTTCAATTCCACCCTGATCCTCAATGACCTCATAAGTTTTTACGGTCTCCTAGTGTTTTTAAGATACATGCTCTAACAACCTAACCAAACAGGTTCATAGAACATAAAGAAAGATGCTGCAATAGAAGGTATACTTACTGCGATTTTTTAAAAATCTAGTCATTATTATTATAGTATTTCATTATTATTATAGTATTAACAAGTCATAGAAACTTTCTAGAGAGCACATGATAAAAAGAGTTCCTTACATAGATTTTCATGTCAATTTAAAGGCACGATTTGTTCAACACTATAAAGGCTTTATCAATTAATTTCTGCATAATCTGAAAGCTTATAAATATTAATGATCTGAGGGAAAAATATGTAAAAGACATTTGGAAATTGTATTTTTAATTGCAGTTAAAATATACCTGCACAACTACTTTGTGCAACACTAATAGGAAGCTATAAAAAAAAAAAACACTGTAAGTTTGAGTTTTCAGCAATCAACAGGAAAAAAATAAAAAGAAGTAAAGCACTAACAAATATGTCAGATAAGAGCATTCAAAAAACTAAATTCTATCTGCATCACTATAATGTATAAAGATGCAGCACAGGTAATATATATAAGACTGAATCAGGACCAAAAGTTCCAACAATAGAATATACCAAAAGTTAACTTACTGTTTTATACATAGAAATGTATACTTTATAGTCTTTTTGAAGTTTATTCACTTCAGGTGGCCCTAACCTGTATCATAGACAGTTACTTCGAATTCCTGATCTATGAAGATGAAAAGCTAAGAAACCCTATTCAACAACCTGGTAACTATAACAGGCCTCAGAATATGTATAACATCTTAAAGCATTTTTGCTATATAATTACACTAATAATTTGAAGTTTATATCACATCTTGAGGTCAAGAGGCCCACAGTTTCTGGTTTTATAAGCTTTCATTGACATAAATGTCACTTCACAGATTAAAGGAAAAACGGGGACGGGGACAGTAACCCAAATAATATTTATGTAAACACATACTTGTTTTCATTTCAACAAAAGAACCTATGTTAATATCTATAGTGATTATGAGTACCAACCTTAAAATGCAAAAGAAAGCCATATACAAGGCCCCATTAGCAGTCAGAAACGAAGCAGACTGTAGGATCTCAGGGAGTAGTTTGTGTAAGTAATAGTCTAATTTCCGTTTCCGGAGAATTGCTGCAATCTGGAAAGAGGAAGAATTTTTTGTTTAATCCAACCAACATTTCACACTTAAATTAGCTTGTATGTGGAAGCTACTGAATAAAAGCATATATTTAAAAATTAAAGTAAAAATGCTGGCATTTTACTAGTTCCTCTATAAAAATACAATGTTCAGGATAGAAAGGAAGAAAGCTGAATTTACTTATTTATTTATTTTAGAAAGCTGAATTTATTAAGGGTAAAATATACAACAAGAAATCACAACATGAGTCATTTGTTGAATAATTTCCATATATTGAGATAAATATTTGTAATGCCTTAAAACAGATTTAAACTAAAAAATGGAATATACTTTTAAACAATAAAAATTGCAATTCAAATAAAAATTTGATGCTATAATAAAACTACATTAAAGATTTTATCAGCCTTTTACTGTCAGAGAGCTTCACTAATAGAAACCAGAGAAATTCATTCAGTTATTCAAACACGACAACTGTGTGGCAAAAAAAAGGGGGGGGGGTGGGTAACACAAAAAGTAAATTTAAAAAGTAATGATTTCTGTCCTCCTGGAGTCTATTAAAAAAGGCCTGAAAAAATAATACTAAGAATCTACTTAACAACACAAGTAAGTATCACATTCTACCAGAACACAGAAACAGGAACAAGTTTCAATACAAAAGACTGCAGAAGTTTATCACAGGAATGTTTTATAAAAAATATCAACCTATTTTTTCATGACTTAGCTTTTATATTTAGATTGAAAACGTTTTTTGTGTGAACTCTGAATATAAAAAGAAGATTTCTAGATTAAAACCAAAAAAGCCCTGAAACAATTCAGCAATTATATGGATAGACATGACATCTAAGTATTTATTGAGCAAACTATTAACATTCCATGAAATAAAGCAATATAAATCATAATATGCACAAGAAATATAGATACTAAGGACTGATGGTTAGTAATAATAGAAAGTAACACAGAAGTTTAGCATAGTGAGTTTAATACAGGTGAAGGCAGGAATTGCATGGAGAAAGGGATACGAGCTGAATTAGGAAGAATAGCAGATGCCTTACTAGTCTTTTTTGTGGAAAAGAGTACTTCCCCATCATAATGAAACAATATATCAAAAAAAATTTAGAACATTATTAGAGAAGGAGTAAGGGAGTGTAAAAAAGGAAAAAACTAACTTGAGAGCAAAAACACTATAAAACTCTCCATTTATTCCCCACTTTTCTAGAGATAACACTTTCTTTAAAGTCAGTGACCAAGAAATCTAATGGTATATTCTCAATTTTTCTGTTACCCCCTTCCTCTTCAAGCCTCTGAAACTGACCATCTATTACTTCAACTGTCATACAAAGGAAAAACAATGATGGATAAGACCCAACCCTTGCCTTCAAAGAACATAAAATCTTGACAGGGAAGTAGACACAAACAAAAGCAATAAGGTATAACATGGCTGTGTTAGGTAAATGCTAGACTAGAAAAAGAATAAATTGCTATAGAAAACACATATTAGGAAATTATTAAAGGGAGTAGGCAGGTGATGATGTCAGGAAGATTTCACTGAACCGTCTAAGATGCATGTTGACAAACAGGTAGAATTTTGACAAGGGAGAAGTTTCTATGCTTTTTGTGACAATGCATTCTTTTCATTCTCCAATTTCTAATGCTATTCCATTGTAAGCATTTTTTCATCAGATCTCTCTATTCATTCTACATGTATTTTCTCCCACAGCATCAACTACCATCTCAATGTAGGAATTCCTAACATAACCCTAACCTGTCTCCCAATTCTAAGTTCAAAGTTCAAATGTCTATTGGACATGTCAACGTAGATGTCCCATAGGCACTGGAAAAAACCAACATGTCCAAAGTAGATACCACTGTATTTCCCAAATATCCTTTTACTTCTGAGTTCCCTACCTCAAATAACAGCAACTCATCTATCCAATTAGAAACAAAAATCTAAGTGCCATTTTCAATTCCACTCTGATCCTCAACCACCTCATAAGTTCTTATGGTCTCCCAGTATTTTCAAGATTTGGAACATAATGTCTATTTCATTTTTGACTTAACAATGGGCAGGATCTAGTACTGTTATATATTCAAGTAGTTACAGAAAAAAAACAAAAAAAACCATTATTCTCCATTCCTGCAAAGAAGAAAACAAAGCTAACCCTATTTTCAGTTAACCTGATTGTCTATGTAGAAAATTTAAGGAGGCTGTGTGTGATGGCTCACGCTTGTAAACCCAGCACTCTGGGAGGCCAAGGTGGGAGGATCATGAGGTCAGGAGATTGAGACCATCCTGGCCAACATGCTGAAACCCTGTCTTTACTAAAATACAAAAAATTAGCAGGGCATGGTGGTGTGTGCCTGTAGTCCCAGCTACTTGGGAGGCTGAAGCAGGGGAATCGCTCGAACCCAGGAGGCAGAGACTGCAGTGAGTCAAGATTGCACTACTGCTCTCCAGCCTGGTAACAGAGCAAGAGACTCCAAATCAAAAAAAATAAAAATAAAAAGAGGAACACAGAAAATGTAAGTCAGTTCAGAGCAAGGTATTAGGACTCAAGATAAACATACAAAAATCTATTAAACTTCTATATGAGGGTAATCAACACATGGACACCACAATTGAAAAAATACAACAGCATACATAACTTCTCAAAAGAAAATGAAATACTTGGATATAAATCTACAACATATGTACAAAAAGTTGCTTAATGAAAACTACACAATGCTGATGAAAGAAACTGAAGAAGACATAAATATATGGGGAGGCATACCATGTTCATGGACTGGACACCCAACATAGTAAATATGTCAATTCTCTCCAAAGTGATATGCAGGTTTAACACAATTCCTATCACAATCCCTGAAGGCTTTTTGTAGATATAAACAATATTATTTGTAAATTTATAGAAAAAAGCAAAGTAGTTACAATAGCTAAAACACAACTCTTAAAAACAAAGTAAAAGGAATCATTCTGAGTTCAAGACGTATTATATAGCTACAATATCTGACTATGTGATACTGGCAGAGGGACAGACAAATAGATCAATAAAAAAGAATAGAGAACCCAGAAGTAGACCTACACAATACAGCCAACAGAATTTTCGACAAAGATGCAAAAGCAATTCCACAATGAAAAGACAGCCTTTTCAACAAATGATGCCAGAATAAGTGGACATCTACAGGTTAAAAGAAAAGAAAAGAGAGCGATCCAAGATGGCTGATCACTAACAGCTCGGGATTGTAGCTCCCAGTGAAAGCGCAGAGAACGAGAGATGCCACACTTTCAGACGAATTTTTGTCGCTAACAGATCAGAAGATTCCCAGCAGAGGAGCCCCATGGGTCACCAGCGCAACTCTTGTGACCAGCGCAGCAGTTTCGCCAGTGCCTTGGCGCGCAGTTCTTGGTGCGCAGCTCTTGGTGCAGAGTAAACAGGACTGGTTCCCCTTCTGACGTTTGGAGCTCCAGGAAGGCAGAGTCACCTATTACAGACTCAAGAAGGAAGCCAGACCGGAAATTCCCAGGGAGAAGAGCACCATCAGTCTTAACGCCACTGTTTTGACCAGTGCAGTGGGTTGCTCAGATTCTGGCACTGGGAATCAATAAATTGGATGTCCACTCAGAAACCTAAATAGAAAGGCAGTAATTATAAAGACGACAGATGGATAAATTTATAATGAAGGGAAGAAACCAGCCTTAAAAGGCTGAGAATACCCAAAATCAGAGTGCCTCTCCCTCTACAAGGATTACAGTTCCTCATCAGCAACAGAACACGGCCTGATGGAGAAGGACTGTGTTGCATTAACAGAAGTAGGCTTCAGAAGGTGGATGATAAGAAACTTCTGGGAGTTAAAAGAACTTGTTCTAACCCAATGTAAAGAAACTAAGAACTTTGAAAAAAGGATTGACAAAATGCTAACAAGAATACACAATATAGAGAGTAATATAAATGAATTAACAGTTGAAAAACACAAGAACTTCGCAAAATGTGCACAAGTTTTAATAGCCGAATTGGTCAAACAGAAGAAAGGATATCAGAGCTCAAAGACCAGCTTAATGAAATAAAACAAGAAAACAAGAATAGAGAAAAAAGGATAAAAAGGAATAAGCAAAGTCTCCAAGAAATATGGGACTATGTGAAAAGACCTAATTTACGTTTGATAGGTGTACCTGAATGCGATGGAGAGAATGAATCGAAGCTGGAAAATACTCTTCAGGATATTATTCAGGAAAACTTTCCCAACCTAGCAAAGCAGGACAAAATTCAACTCCAGGTAATACAGAGAACACCACAAAGATATTCCTCAAGAAGAGCAACCCCAAGGCACATAATCATTAGATTCATCAAGGTTGAAATGAAGAAGAAAATACGAAGGGCAGCCAGAGAGAAAGGTCAGGTTACCCACAAAGGGAAGCCCATCAGACTCACAGCAGAACTCTCAGCAGAAACCCTACAAGTCAGAAGAGAGTGGGGGCCAATATTCGACATCCTTAAAGAAAAGAACTTTCAACCCAGAATTTCATATCCAGCCAAACTAAGCTTCACAACTGAAGGAAAAATAAAATCTTTTATGAACAAGCAAGTACACAGAGATTTTATTACCACCAGGCCTGCTTTACAAGAGCTTCTGAAAGAAGCATTACACATAGAAAGGAACAACCAGTATTAGCCTTTCCAAAAATATACCAAAAAGTAAAGAGCATCAACATAATGAAAAATTTACATCAACGAATGGACAAAACAGCCAGTTAACATCAAATGGCAGTAATCCTAAATTTAAATCAACTAAATCCCCCAATCAAATGATACAGCCAAAACCCAACAGTGTGCTACATCCAGATCCATTTCACATGCAAGGATACATAATGACTCAAAACAAAGGGTTGGAGAAAGATTTACCAACCAAACGGAGAGCAAAAATAAATAAATAAATAAATAGCAGGAGCTGCAATTCTCGTATCTGATAAAATAGATTTTAAAGCAACAAAGATACAGTGGTAAAAG